GCAGCGCCCCTTTGGGCAGCAGGCAGATCAGCCCTAAGCCGTGTGTCCGAGGCAGTGAGTGGCGGGGCTGGTTCTGCAGGGGCCGGAGGACAGGACAGACCTTGGTCCAGGAAGGAGCTGCTGGCCCCGGCCGGGCTCCTCGGCCGCTAGGAGATGCTGGAGCGGGTAGTTAAGGACACACACAGGTTCACGGTGAACCTCGGGGCCAGGGTGAACACAGCCAGCCCAGGGACAGAGGAGGCCATGGGACGGGGCTAGCCGAGGGCACGGCTGATGGCGCTCCAGGGAGTTCTATGGATCCAGAAGCTTATCCTGTCCTTTAAAGTTGGCAGAGGTTTTGAATGCACCCACCCGTCTTCACGCACTTGGCCTGAGAGGCTGAGCCTTGCACGTGAGCCAGGGCCAGCACGCACCCCAGGGGGAGGGTCCTCAGCCCGCCGGAAATGAACTAGCGTTTCCTGGGCCAGTGGAGGAAGCCCCAGGGCCGGTGTCCCACCTGCCCAGGAGGTGTCGACACAACGCATTGCAGGCGTGGGGAGGAAACGCCTGGAGATGCTGCCAGCAAGTGGACCAGTGTCACCTGGCGGGCCCCCGACTTGCAGTGAGCTGTTGCAGCCCACGCCCACTGCCCTGGAGGAGTGGGGGTGGGGCATTGGGGGTGGTGTCTAACGTCCCGCGTCGTCCCAAGTGGCACATGGGCCCCAGCTAGAGCCAAGTCATTCTCCCAGTGCACGGGCAGAGCCGCCCCATTGTGCCTGACACGGGGTGGGGACATTCCCACCACTGGGGGACAGGCAGGCACAGGAGAGGGGGAACGTCTCGGGAACTGTTCACCCTGTAGCTGAGGTGCCGCTCAGTGCCACGAGCTCGGGAGGGCACAGGACAGGGGCAGGCGATGACCAGGATCGTCTCAGCGGCACAGCCAGTCAGTGACAAGGTACCAAGAGCAGCAGCTTCTAGCGTCACCTGGGCACAGTGAGTGACCTGGTGTCCCCAGGCTCCCGGCCCCTGGGAGAACCTCGACCTCCAAGTCTGGTCCTTTTGTCATCAGCAGCTCTCGACCCTGCGACTAAGCGTCCCCACCCTGTCGATCTCATCTGTGCCATGCTGATAATCAGTGTTTTGTATTTTTGTACTGAGAAGTACTGGAGCACTTTAGAAGAGCTGACTTCACGTTCCCGTTCTGTCGTGAAGGGGACATTCCCGGGCCCACCCAAGCCAGTGTGCCCTGGTGCCACCCTCCGAGACGGCACGATTCCTTGGACGAGAAGTTCGAGGAATCTCTGCTTGGCCACGAGGCAGAGGGGTCTCTCAGTCACGCCCTGCAGTAGGACAGCGTCGTTGGCCCTTCTCTCACCGGCACCCTCGGTCACTCCTGGGTGGAGCCCGGTGTTGTCTGTGAAGTCGACGGTCGAGCAGACGTTCCCGTGTGTGTGGGATCCGTGCACGTCCTCGTCAGTCGTGTCCACCCGCTAATTGTTTTTACGATGATTACGTTTCCTCACCGTGGGATATTTCAGAACCGCCTTAGAACTTAAGACCCGATCCTAGCAATAAAAGTGTCTAAGATGAGCTCCGGCTGATGCGGATGTGCTTTGGCATTTTAAGATCGGCTCCTGCCAAGACGGTGCAGGAGCCGCGGGTTCTGGGGTTGTGGGGGCTCCTGCGCCTCACCACGACCGGCAGGGTGGCCCCTCAGGCTATCTGCAGCAATGGTCCCCCTACCTTGAGCCCCTGACAGCTCCTGTCACCGTTTGCCGGACGTGCCATCCCCCTACCCTGTGTCCTGCTTAACAAACTCAGAAGATCCTTTCAGCCGGGCGCGGTGGCTCACGCCTGCAGCCCCAGCACTCTGGGAGGCCGAGGCGGGAGGATCTCTTGAGCCCAGGAGTTGGAGGCTACAGTGAGCTAGGATGACACCACTGCACTCTAGCACAGGCAATAGAGCGAGGCTGTCTCAAAAAAGAAAAAAATACTTTCAGATCCAGTCCCCAGCAATTGGCTTTCTTTGCCCCAGTCTGAAGAGGGTGAGCCGCCGGCCCCAGGGAAGGGCACGAGGTAGGGGTACGGCCACACCGTTGGGGGTATTGAAGTGCTTCCAGAGGGAGGCTGCCCACCGGTTATACTTCGGGCTTTCTGGAGTGTCCAGAACCCAGCTTTACTGATTTTTGTTTTTTTAATCCAAAATGACCAAGAGTGTAACTTTTTTTTTTTTTTTTTAAGAGACAGGGTGTCACTTCATCACCCAGGCTGGAGTGCAGTGACACGATGACAGCTCACTGCAGCCTCCAACTCCTGGGCTCAAGCGATCCTCCTGCCTCAGCCTCCTGAGTAGCTGGGACTACAGGCTCACGTGGAGAACTGGGCTTTTTTTTTATTTTTTAATTTTAGAGGCAGCATCTCATGTGTTGCCCAGGCTGGTCTCAAACTCCTGGCCTCTTGCGATCCTCCCGCCTTGAGTACAACTTCATGTTCCTCTGTTTGGCCGGAGAGATTAGCTTACCTCTGGTTGGCAAATCATAATTTCCACCTTGCCTGGTCCAGCGAGGAGACACGGGGGTTCCTGGCAAGAGGTGACGAAGTATAAAGCCGATCACCAGAGAACTGGGAGTGCAGAGGCGGGGCTCAGCCAGCACTGTGACACAAAGGCCACGCAAGCCACAGGTGGAATTTTCCATTTTTAGTAGCCACATAAAAAGTAAAAAAAAAAAAAAAAAAAAGGCCAAATACATTGAAATTCATTTCTTTCTTTTTTTTTTTTTTTTCCATCATGGTAAAAGGCACACAACAGAGTGGCCCTGTGTGGGGGGCAGAGCACCCTTTCTTTGACATCTAGCAAAGTGCTGACTTGGTCTGGGGGCCGAGGTACAAACAGGAACCACCTTTACACACCGGGCCTGCCCTCGGGTGCCTGCGCGGAAGGGCCTGTTGCACGCTCGCCCCAGGGCGCCAGAGCTACACCCCACACAAACCGCTTTGCTCCCTTCCGCCTGCGGTGTCGTCAACGCGCGTCGGAACAGGCGGGTCTTGGATGCCCTCGTGTAACCCACACCCTGAGCAAGATCTGGGACGTTTTCTAATCCCTGCCAGGGTTTCTCCTCCTGCCCTTCTCCCCACTCCCGGGGGCACCTGCTGGCCAGTTTCTGGTCACTCTAGCTTGACACTGACTGCTCTAGAACGTGGCATCATTCGGTAGGTGGCTTCCGCGCCTGGTGGTGTTCACTCAGCAGTGTCGTCTTGATTCTTCCTTGTGGGAGATGGCGTGGATGGGCTGCGGTTTGTCTATCCTTTCTTCTGACAGTGGACGTTGGAGTCCCCTCTCCCTCTCTTTGTCCCCCTCACCCTCTAACCTATCTGACCAGATGCAGATAGTGGTGTCCAAGCTGTGTTGGGGTCAGAGGCTCTGTGAGTAGCAGAGGGAAGCAGGGACCCTGGTCACGGGGCAGGGGGACACACAGCTGCCCCCGCACGTTGTGGTGCCCGCTCGATCCGTACCCCTGGGTTAAGTGCCAGCCACAAGAGACACCAGGATGCAGGACAGGCAGGCAGGGGCTGTGAGGGCACGGATCCATCCAGAAAGGGAGCCCAGGCCTGCAGGGACACCAGCTTGTCAGGGGACATGGGGCTGCCCCCATCTCTGGTCTGGATCCTACCCCTAGCCCAGCTGTCCCCTGGGATGTCCCCAGTCTTCCCAGCATGCCCCTAGGGGCCCTGGGGGAACCCTGAAATGAGATGTTCTGCAAAGAGGGCCCGTGGTCCCTAAGAGTCACAAAGGGATCTGTTCCCGCCCCCGAAAGGTGGAGAACCACTGAAACAAAACAGGCAAAACTACGGGGACGGAAAGGTGAGTGGTTACCAAGCCTGGGGGCACGGGGGCCGGGAGGTAGCAGCTAATGGTTGCAGTTTCTTTTTGGGGTGTTGAAAACGTTCTGAAATTGAGTGTGATCGTTGCATGACTCTGTGAATATCCCAAAAAAGCCACTGAACTGTACGACCTAAACGGGTAAGTTGTATGGCATGTATTTCAGTAAAACGTTCAGAACCAGGGGGGCGGGGAGGTGGGCCTCCCTTTCTAGAAGCATCTTTCCCACCTGCTCTGTGCCTGGACACCCCCCACACACCTTGGTCAGTGTCCAAGGTCTTCCCAGCCCAGCTCCACCTCTGAACTTGGCTTTCTTCTTCCTTGAGGTCCTGCGCCCGGTGTTCCCGTGGCTTCCCACAAGGGGGCACCACTCTTATGGCCTAACAGGGATGAACTGGTGGCGTCCCCAGGACTCCTGCTTGCTAGGAACAAGGCATCCACCTAGGGCCAGGGTGGACGTGCACCCACCTCCCACAGGAGAGGAGGGGCAGCCGCCCGGGCCGGCCCGCTTGTGAGTCCTGGGCAGCAGGAGCCGCCGCAGATGGCCAGCGCAGGGCACTGGGCCTGAGGCCAGGTGGGGTCCCTCCTGCACCCGTGTCACCTGAGCTGCCCCAGCCCCCCAGCTGCTCCCAGCCACCTGATGGCCTCCTTGTGGAAAGACAACTTGGTTGGTATCACGTGAGCTGCAAGGATATACACACTGCCCACCGTGTTGGGTCTTCCTGGGCCGGGCCCTGTCTTCGGACACCTGCGCCGGGCCACACACGCAGGGCCTCTCAAACGTCATTCTCAGCCGTCAAACTAAAAAACAAGCCTGTCCCATCCTACCATGCTCTCGGCAAGGCGGGAGCCTCGAGTGTCTTCAGAGACGTCGGCCCCAGCTTGGAGCCCACGACATGCTCGCGGTGGCCTGGCAGGAGGTGGCACCTCCGGCCCGTGTGTCCAGTCTCTGGGGAGTGGAGAACAGCCCTAGATGGCTGAAGGCCGCTTGGGGGCAGTGGGTGGCGCTTGCTCAGAGACGAAGAGCATGCTGGGAAGTGTCGTTTCCCACGGCGGCTCAGTCCCCCGGTGCGGGGTAGCCAGCGGTGGGCCAGCAGCCACCACGGTAATAATGTGTCACACCTGAGCCCGGCCCAGCACCACGCTATTTAATTGATTCTCGTTTCAGCTTTCCCGCGGCAGGACGCTGTCTCTCCTGTTGGCCTTTGTCTGGGCACGACACAGGATAGCAGGCGCTGCGGGGGCCCTCAGTGGCCTCTGCAAACTCTGCCACAGCAGGGCTGGTCTCAGGAGCCCCAGGGTCCTCCCCTGTGGCACAGAGAGACGCCTCCCCCACTGAGCCCACGCTGGGCCCTGGGGGGGCCTCACACCAGCCCCTGGAAGCCCCGGCCCCTGCCCTGGTGACTCTTGCTCTGTGGGAGGTGGCCCTCCATCGGGGTCAGGGGGTGGCGGCGTCGGCCTGGGCTGCCTGGTACACGCTGAGCAGCGAGGAGACGGTGCCCAGGAGGCCCACCAGCCACGGCGGGAAGCGGCCGGCCCACAGGACGCCCCGCGGCAGCCAGTGCACGGCGTTGGCCAGGTCGGCCAGGTTGCTGAGCAGCGTCAGCGCCTCCAGCTGCATCTGCGCTGCCACGGCCCTCCGCTTGCTCCGCGGCAGCTGGCTGCGGGGACAGAGACGGGCCGCTCGCGATCGCCGTCCAGACCCCTTCCCCAGCCCGGCATCCCCTGGCCCGCGGGCACCCTCCTGCCGGGGTCGCACCGCCCAGAGGGCGCCCACAGCACGATCGGGAGCCGGAGTGGGGCCCAAAGCTTCAAGTCCTCACCTCAGTCCTCCCCCATCCCCAAGATGGGCGGGGAGGCAGGGCGAGGGCTGCTTGGTGGGCAGGTTCCAGGCCCGGCTCTACCCACATTCTTTCGCAGGATGATGGAGTGACAATGGCCACGGTCCTGGGAAACTGACCGTCCTCCCTGCAGGAGGTGTGGCCGTGAAGGCCCAGCCCTGGAGTCCTCACTCAAGGAAGCCTCGGTTTCCCCATTTGAACAGGTACTGCCACCCACCCGGGCCTGTGCAGGGCGGGGCTGAGTGTGGGGGGACTCAGCAGTGCCCGGCTGGGAAGCCTCGCCTGCTGCAGAGTGACCGCGGGTGCCGTACCTGGTGAAGGCCACCACGGGGCTCCGCAGCCTCTGTCGCAGCCTCAGCATCACCCACAGCGACCTGCAACGCCAGAGTCCATGGGAAGACACCCCGCCCAGAGCAAGCGTGTCAGGTCCCCAACGCCAGCCCCGCGGGGTCCCGGCAGGGCCTGCTGATGCCGGAACTAGTGTCCTGCCCTCTCCCCGGCCCCACGGTCCCCGCACCCTCCCAGCCGTGCCCCAGGAGCTCCCAGGGACTCATCGCTAACACGGCCCGTCCTGCCTGGGCCGTCTGCGCCAGACTCAGGACCGTCCTGCATCTCTAACAGGGCCACCAGGCCCGGGCCCGGCCTCTGCAAGCCCCAGGCCAAGCGCCCAAAGGGACATCACGCCACGTGAGGTGTTCACAGCCAGCCAGGAGGCTCCCCCTCTATGGACGAGGACACCAGGGCTGGCCTGCAGGTGGCTGACGCTGGGGATGCTGCCTCCCTCTGTGCCTCGGCTGTCTCACTTGGTACGTGTGGAAAAGGCCCACATTGACGTCACACCTGCCCCACACCGGGGCACACACACCAGAAACGGGCCAGACCTGTCTGGGGTGAGTCTGGATGGCCCTCTGGGCCCCCAGGGCTGAGGAAGGGGCTCCCTGGGGACTCTGGGCCCATCTGGGCAGCTCCACCAGGAGCCTGCACCCTGCCGTCCAGGCCGTGGGGCAGGAGGGGGCGTGAATGTGCCAGACTTCCTAACAGGGAGGTCCAGTGTCTGGGCACACCTCCTCTGGCCACCATGCACCTTTCCGTGTCCCAAGGGGACAGGACGCAGGGCAGCAGCTGTGATATGGTACCAGGGGGCTCCTTGGGGGACGAGGGCAAAAATCCCGATTCCTGGGCTCTCCCGGACTTGCTGAGTCAGAAGCTCTGGGCACCGGGCTCAGGAATCTCCAGCTTAACAACCTCCTAGGTGACAGCCCAGGGCACTGAGCACAGGCACCTGGCCGTGGAGAGCACACACACGGACCACGCCCCCACCCGCACACCCCCGCTCACGCCACAGCCAGAGAAATGAGGGGAAAACCGCACCTTCACAAAATGAGCGGACCAGCAGCCGAGCACGGAGGATGCTTAGGGCAGCGGGACTGCTCTGTGCGGTCCTATAATGGTAGGGACGTGTCCAGACCGCCGAATGTTCGTCACCAAGAGTGAGCCCTGATACAAACTGTGGACCTGGGGTGACGATGGTTCGTCCACGGGGGTGCCTCGATGGTACCGAGTGCCCTGCTCTGGGGGGCGCTGACGGTGGGGGAGGCTGTGGGTGTGGGGACAGGGGGTGTGGGGATGCTCTGTACTTTCTGTTCAAGTTTGCTGTGAACCAAAACTGCTTTAAAAAAAAAAAAAAGTCTATTAAAAAAAAAAGAAGAAGAGAAAGAATAGAACCCAGGCTGCCCCTAAAACAGGAACAGGGAATTTCTTGGGCCAGAGGTCACAATGTACCCGGAGGAAGGCCGAGGAGGAGGAGCTGTGACACGGCTGAGCCCCTGGAGCCCCCACAGCCCAGCCCAGGCAGCCACCTGGAGTCCCCCAGCACCACAGACAGACAGACACGGCGCCTCGATGGGCCCTCAGAGACCAAGCAGGAGCCAAGGCTGGGAAACAAGATCAGAGACGGTGACGACGATGCGGTGGCAGAGCGTGTGCTCAAAGCCTGGAAGAGAATCCCCGAAGTCTAAACAGTTGGGGGTCTCGGGGTTGGATGGCGGGTGAATTGAACCTTCCACTCTGCGGTTCGTCCGTTTCCCAAATTGTCACCATGAGCACATAATTAGGACGTCTGTATCTGGGGAAAACGAGAACTTCTGAAAGTCAGGGCCTCGCCCAGGGACAAGTCACAGCAGACGTGGACGCTGCCCCAGAACCAACGACGCGCAGGCTGCCCTGAGGTTGGGGGTGGCCACGCCTCGCTCCAGGAATCCGAGAGGCCTTTGTGGCCACTGAAACATGGGGACTGGGGGCCCTGCTCCTCCTAGAGTTTTCTGGGGCGGAGGGGATTCTGACTCAGCACATTTGCAATGAGGGAAACGTTTGGGAGGAAACCACTCTTGTAAAGTTCTAGAAACCATACAGTTTTCGGAAGCCCAGAGCCAGTCAGGAAACTGCTGGCCATGTTCTTTGGGATGTCACCTGACAGCAATGCCAGCAGGACTCAGGGACCTGGGTAAAGGCAGCCACCCGGCTGCTTCGCTCCAGGACCTGGAGTTATTTCTTCTTCCTGGGTCTGCTCAGCGGAAGTGTGGCTCCCCGCAAAGATGCCCACACCCTAATCCCTGGAACCCGGGACTCTGTTCCCTCACTTGGCAAAAGGGTCTTTGCAGATGGGATGAAGTTAAGGATCTTGAGATGGGGGATCCCCCTGGATCACCCGGGTGGCCCAGTGTCGTCCCAGGGTCTTTACGCAAGGCACGTAGGAGGGAGGGTCAGAGTTAGAAGGCGACGTGCCCATGGAAGCAGAGGTTGGAGATGCGCTTGGAAGACAGAGGAAGCGGCCACAAGCCAAGGAACGCGGGCGGCCTCTAGAAGCCGGAAAAGCGAAGGAAACAGATTCTCCCTGGAGCCTCCAGGAGGAGCCAGCCCTGCCCACACCTTGATGTTAGCACAGCGAGGCCTGTTGCAGACTCCCAACCTTCAGAACGGTAAGATAATAAAACTGTGTCGTCTAAAGCCACCGAGTTCGTGGTTGTTAACAGCAGTTATTGGAAACAAATGCAACAAAAGGAAGAAAACTCAAAGAGGCAAAGACCCCTACACTTCAAGCCTACAGCAATCTGCTGCAGTCCTGCTCAAGAGACTTCACCTAGGGACCTCAGGTGCTCCCTTCCGGCCACTGACGCCGCTTACCTGGCCACCCCCAGGAGCAGGGAGAGGGCCCAGAAGGTTGTGCTCAGTGTCCACCACCGGAAGGAGTCCACGTGGAGAATGTTGGCGTCGGCGGCCCAGGCCACGTGCTCGCAGGGGTAGTAGAGCTGGTCGGCCAGGTTGCCCAGCACAGACGTCCAGCGCACAAAGGCATCCTCCTCCTGCGGGGCCAGGGGGGAGGTGGGCCTCGGGTCTGACCTGCCCAGGGCCTGTTTTAGGACCGTGGCCATGCCAGGCATCTTTCTCCCCCGCAGGAGAAAGGCTCTGGGCACTGGGAAGTTTTTTTAAGTTCCCAGGGGATTGCCATGTGAGCCCATGAGGGGTCTCGGTCCTGCACTGTGCCCACACCCTTCGCCCCGAGTTCTGAACGATCGCCTGCACCCAGCGAGGCGGGATCAGTGAGGCTACAGGAGCTCCACACTGAGGCCTGGTTCCTCGGACTGCACCCCCCGCCCTCAGGACCCCGCGCCAGCAGTGGTCCTGCCTCCCTCTGGGTTCTGAGCCCCTCTCCAGCTTCCCCAATCTGCCTGGGACCCTCTCGTGCGTTGTGGCACATTTCTCCCCTCCCTGAGGTTGCTCCCCGCCCCCATCCCAATGTGCTCATTCCACCGTGCTTCCTGAGAAGTGGCGACTCTGGGGAGGAGGAGAGGCTCACCAGGGCATGGAGAGACAGGGACACGTAAACACAGGACCCAACAAAAGGGGCTCTTGTTCTGGCCCACGGATACATGCTGCAGAAGGCCCCCAACCCCTTGCCTGGGGGCTCTTCCGCAGAGGAAAGGGAGGAGGGAGGGAGGGGTCTCAGGGATGCATCAGAGGGTGCCCTGATCACAGAAAGAGGAGGAGGAGGAAATGGGTGTAAAGGGGGAGACAGGTCCAGAGAGACACTCCTGATTTGGGGTGATCAGGCTGTGGGCACATGGGGCTGCAGGGGAGAGCATCTGAGCATCAGGGAGCTCAGACGGGAGACCCCTGGGAGGGCAGCTCAGACAGCCACAGGAGTCGTGCAGTCTCTGAGACGTTTCCCCTGCGGGGCAAGATGGCCCTGGTGAGGACTGCTGCTCTAGATCAGCTGACATTCATGTGGCTTGTTGCAAGGGTGCGGCTACCCCCTGCAGTACTGTCTCAATAGCAAAATCTTTTTTTTTTTTTCTTTTTGAGACAGAGTCTCACTTCTGTTGCCCGGGCTGGAGTGCCATGGCATCAGCCTAGCTCACAGCAACCTCAAACTCCTGGGCTTAAGCAATCCTCCTGCCTCAGCCTCCCGAGTAGCTGGGACTACAGGCATGTGCCACCATGCCCGGCTAATTTTTTCTATATATTTTTAGCTGTCCAAGTAATTTCTTTCTATTTTTTAGTAGAGACGGGGTCTCACTCTTGCTCAGGCTGGTCTCGAACTCCTGAGCTCAAATGATCCACCTGCCTTGGCCTCCCAGAGTGCTAGGATTACAGGCGTGAGCCACCACACCCGGCCGCAAAATCTTAATCATCTCCATGTCCATCAACGGGACTGGTTCAATAAATCACAGCCCATCTGTATAACAGAGTGCTCTGTGGCCATAAAGCATGAAAGAGCTCTTCTTGCACTGATCAGAAATGATCTCCAAGTTGGATGTTAAGTGAAAAAATGAATGCACTACGTATGTAAACAATTTGTATTTGCCTGTGTAGATACAGGAAATCTCACGAAGGAGACACAAGAAGCTGACTGCAGTGCCTGCCTCTGAGGGGTGAAATTTGGGTTTCTGGAGACTCAGGAAGGAGGGGGATTTTTAAATTATACACTCCTTTGGAATGTGTGAACGTGTTAGCTATTTTTAAAAGTTTTAAAGCAAAAGGAGAACATCTGATCGTCTCAAAAAAGAAAGTAAAATTAAAAAAATAATCAACTGCCTACACAAGGAGCACTTTGGGACAAGTCTATAAAATGCCAGCTGAGGCCACAGCCCCGGGCTTCCTGAGGTCTGTACCCCTGCTCCCTGCAGCCCCATGAACCCCATTACCTCTGCCCCCAGGCCGTACTGCTTAGTGTAGATGAACATGGCCAGGTCATCAAAGAGTCGCAGGACGGTCCTGCAGTGGCTGAGCTGGGTGGACACAGCCAGCAGGCGCGTCCCCAATTCGGAACTGGCAGGACATTGTTCCACCAGGACCCCACCGAGCAGCTGGCAGCAGTATCCCAGAGTTCGGATCTGCAGGAAACCAGAAGCCATCAGCATGGCGCCACTCCAGGACTGAGCGAGATCTCCCCTGATTTGGCCATGGGCCCTGCTGGATTGAGGAAAACTCTAAATCTATAAACTTCCAGTAAAAGCTGAGAGATTAAAAACGTACTCGTAGGTGGGACAAATGGAGAAATACGACATCATTGTCCAAAGGCACTGCGGAGAGTGCTGGTTCATGTCACAGGGGGGCACAGCCTTTGGGGACAGATGTTTCAGAGACAAAGAAAACAAAACTCCTTATTTCGTACCTCTCGGGTCCTTTTCTCATCACATAGGAGGACAAGGCTGAAATGTATAGTTGCATCTTCCCCCTGGACCAAAGCCCCTGGCTGGGCTGAAGGTTGATTAGGCCTCAACCCAGTGGACAACACAGTAATTTGCTTGAATGACTTTAGAGAAAAGAAACCCATTCAGGAGGTGATTGGGAACATCGTCAACTAGGTCAATGTCACCACCCTTTTATCAGTAATTATTTCATCTGCTTTTCAGAAACTGCTTCTTCTTGTTTTATATATTATTTTCACTTGCAATTCCTTTTCAACCCCATTGTGATGGCAAAACACTGCAATTTAAATGACTCGACTTGGGGCGGATGTGTTAAATCCAAAATGCTCAATCATAAGGGATTTGGTTGGAACCTAAACGCCTAGCCACCGCTACACCCCCTGGTTCAACCTAAATGTCTATCTATTAGGGACTGGCCAGGACGAGCTAAGAGTACAGCTTTAGGGGCCCAGAGGGAATAACAGAAATGCTCAATCGGTGGGGATTTGGTTGGAACCTACACTGTCTAGCCACAGGAGGAGTCTTGCAATATCCTAAATCCCCATACGAGATTGTTTGGGACAACTCAGTGTCCAACTACAATGGCCTGGTCAGGCCCTAAATGTCCAAACATGGGAACCTGGTTGGTATGTAAATGTCCAGCCAGGTTGCACATTTACAAGATCCGTCTAAATGACCAACTGAAAGGGCGGGCAGCCTTGCCAAAATAACAGGAAAACACCTAATCCCACGATTTCCCCAGTAACAGTTAAAGATCAATCCTACGAGTTCTCTCACTAACAGGCAGTCTGCAGGAGCTCTATTTTGCACAACTTCTGAAAAAAGCTGAATGAACGGACAAGAGATGTCAATCTCTCTCTTTCAAAATTGTTGTTTTTTTTTTTTTTTTTTGAGAATCTCCTTTTTACAGCTTAAAGACTTCCTGAGCAAACAGCAGGGTGTGAGCTCCAAGCCTGAACCCTATCTGGAGGACAGAATCACATCTCCTGTGATAATTAATCCCTTCTCCAAGGAAAGGCAGGAGAGCCGACTCTTGAACTTTGACATCCTTGCAGTTTTTTTTTTATCTACCTGCTGTCAAGAAGAAAGGAAGAACCGGATGCAGCAACTTCTCGACTGTACCCTGCCATTTTGCAACCCCATTTTCAAAAGTCCCAATAGCTGGTTTTCGGAGCCAACACTGCCTTTCCTTTTCCGCCTCCGCGCTGTGCTGGTCCTTTGCCCTCTCCCCTCCAAGGGAAAAGTAAATAAACCTTTTCTTGCTGTCCTAATCTTTGGAGAAATGTTTCTCAAAACCCGCGTGCACCGGCACCGCCACCAACTACACCAACTACAGGGAATCTGGCTGGATCCATGGGGCCTGGCCACAGTGGCTTCCCCGGTGCCAGGTTAGCTGGCACAACCTAAATGTCCAGCTATAGGGGATGTGGTCGGAACCTCAATGTCCGGCCACAGCGGGAGCCCTGCGACATCCTAAATGCCCATGTGAGATTGTTCGGGACAACGCAGGGACTGACTTCAGTGGCCTGGGCAGATCAGGCAGGTAAGTGTCCAGCCAGGTGAGGCTGGCAGGAACAACCTGAATGTCCAAGGCTGGGGAACCATGTTTGAGCCCAGCTCAGACAGGACCTCTGCGCTGGGCAAACCCTGAGCGATCCCGCCCCCTCTCTGGCCTCAGTTTCCCCGTCTCTGAGCTCCGGCCAAACTCCAGGAACTCGGGCTCCGCTCCGCCCCAGCCTCACCAGGCGGTCGCGACCCCTGTATGACTCCAGCGCCGACGCCAGGCCGCTCAGCGACGCCATGGCAACTCCGCTGTGACGTCAGCGCGCCGCGCCAGGGGGCGGGGCCAGACCGCGTTCGGTCTGCGCAGGCGCGGCCGCCGCTCTTTGTGCCGGGCTTGGCTTTTGTCCGCTGCGAGAGAGGAACTGAGTTTGCAAATGCTGGGCCGCCACGTGTGTGCTCCTCGAGCGTTTGGACCCAGGATGATCCTCCTCGGAGGTTGCTGCTTTCTGTCCCGCGGCGGCTTGATCATCTCCCCACAAAAAAAAAAAAAATCTCAAAATTAACCAACTACCCCCTCAACACACCCCCACAAAATAATCCAAGCAGAACCACCAACCTGTTAGCAGTGGCTCAAGGAGGGATTTTTCTTTTTAGTTTTCCAGTTTGTGTTGTCTGCTTTGTATGGAGATTACGAAGGAAAAATTCTGTAAAATTTTGTCGTGAGTATTTTGTAAATAAAGGTACAATTTCCCATTTTCCCTATGTATGGCGACTTTTGGGACACCCGGTAGAGCGAACGTGTATGACTGTTGTAATAGCATAATAAGGCATCTTTGGGCGTTAAGAAAAGACATGAAATCGTTCTAGAAGAATGGACAAGCAACTGGTAACCTGAGCTGCTCTGGAGAGAGTAACCCCGGTGACTTGGAGAAAATATTAAATTTTAACCTTTCTATCATTTTGTAGCTTTTGAATTTTGTGCAATAGGCATGTATTATTATCTCATTCCCAAAAATCAAAATTTTTCATAAAGTTAACGCCCATTTCCTGGTTTTGTTTTTTATTGAGATGAAATTAGCATAACATGAAATTCACCATTTTAAAATGCACAGTTCCGTGGTATTTAGTAGTACATTTCACATGTGGTACAAACATCACCCCTTGCTAGCTTCGAAGTATTTTCATCACCCCCTAAGGAGACCTTTGGAGGAGACCAGAATATGCCATCCCAAAATATGCCACCTTGGCATAAGGATTATTTTGAGCCGAAGGCAATTGCGAAGCCCATACAGGACACGAATTTGCCTAAAAGCAGGACACAAATATACAAAGGTGCCTTCCTCCCCTCTCTACCAGGAAGGACATAGGTTGGTCACCGGTGATACCTTTAGACTCTTGTCTGGCAACATCTTTAGATGGCACCGAAGGAACCTAAGTGACAAGCTTTACTAACTACCCTTTACCTACCATTTATCTGCCTTCCTCCAATTTGCTGTCCTTAGAGACTCAACGTCCTTCTCCTTTGTCCTGTTACATCTCCAAAAACGTACTGTTCTGTGCCAAAGTTGCTATGTGGGCCAGAGTTCTAAACTTAACGCTTCTTTGAGAGTGATTCATTTCTCAAGGTATTGCCTGTGTATACCTGAAGTATACATGTTAATAAATTTGTTTGGTTTTTTCCTTGATAATTCTTTGCTTGCAGGGGTACGTCCCACCTAAGAAAGGTAGAGGGAAAATTATTTTTCCTTCCTTATACCTTGTTCCCATTAAGCAGTGTCAATGGAAAAAAGACCAAACTCTGTAAAATAATTTTAAAGAGATTTATTCTGAGCCAAATTTGAGGACCATGACCCAGAGCGACGCCCAAGAGGTCTTGAGCAGTGGACTCGGTGTGGCTGGGTTACAGTTTGGTTTTATACATTCCAGGGAGGCAGGGGTTACAGGTAGAGTCATAAATCAATACGTGGGAGGCATACATTCGTTTGGCCCCAAAAGGTGGGCCATCTTGAAGGGGGGGGGGTTACAGGTTATAGGTGGGTTTAAAGATTCTTTGGCTTGTAATTGGTTAAAGACATGAAGCTTTGTCTAAAGGCTTGGAATGTTTCAACATAAGGAGCTGTTTATCAGAGATAAGCCATCGGACAGGACATAGATTTGTTGTCTAAATTGAGGACCTGCAGGTTTGTCTTGCATACCCTTAGGCCTGTTAATGGGTTACAAAGGATGTCCCCAAGAAGGGAGGGAGACATGATACAAGGCATGTCTGACCTCCTTCCTCCTGGCAGGCAATTTAGTTTTAGGATATTCCTTTGGCCATGAGGAGGTCCATTTAGTCAGCCGGTGGGTGGGGGGGGGGTGAGCCTTAAAATTTTATTTTCATTCACAGCAGTCACCTGCTTCCTCAATCCCCCAGCCCCAGGCAACCTCTCTTCTGCTCTCTCTGTCTCTATGTTCACCTATTCTTGGTATTTCATATAAATGGAATCATACACTATGTGACCATTGTGTCTGCCCTCTTTTACTTAGCATGGTGTTTCTGACGTTCATCGGAGTTGCAGCGTGTATCCCAATATTCTGTTGTAGGGATAAACACTGTGTTTATTCATTCATCAGTTGTTGGACATTTGACCTGTTTCCACCTTTTGGCGATTGTGAATAAGGGCTGCTGTGCTCATCTGCGCACATGTACTTGACTTTCTGTTTTCAATTCTTTGGGGTATGTACCTAGGAGTGCAATTGCTGGATCACACGGTAACTCAATGTTTTACTTTTTGTTTTACTTTTTTACCATCAAACCATTTCCCACAGCGGCTGCTCCGTTTTCCATTCCCACCTCTCCAAAATATCCAAAGTCTCCAAAATATCCCCTGAATCCATCCACTTCCCATCCTGCAGCTACCTCATAGGGCAGCCCCATTCTGTCCCCCAGACCCTGAGCCCCTGCCTCCCCCAGCTGCCTCCCCCACAATATCCCAAGAGACTTTTTTTTTTTTTGAGGCGGGGTCTCACTCTGTCACCTGGGCTGAAGTGCGGTGGCACGATCATAGCTCGTTGCAACCTTGAATTCCTGGGCTCAAGCGATCCTCCTGTCTTGGCCTCCTGAGTAGTTGGGTTAGCAGGTGCAGACCACCATACCTGGATAATTTTTCTATTTTTTGCAGAGACGGAGTCTCGCTATGCTCCAAGAGACTCTTTAACTCCCACATCCAACCAACACCTGTCCCTGGTAAGACTTAAGTCCAGGGGCTCATGTGCACCCTCCTCTCCCCCAATTGGGGTCACGACAGCAGAAGAAAATCCAAGCCAAGCTGGACGTGATGGTGTACACCTGTAATCCAGCTACTCAGAGGCTGAGGCGGGAGGATCGCTTGAGCCCAGGAATTCGAGGCTGCAGGGAGCTGTGATCACGCCACCGCACTCCAGCTACTCCAGCCTGGACAACAGAGTGAGACCCCATCTCTAAAGAATAAAAAAAAAATTTTTTTAATCCAAGCCAAGGTCCAGGCATGCAGAGGGAAGGGCACCTCTGACTACAGAGCCTGCTGGTGCCTGAATGAGCGATCTCGTCTCTCAAGCCTGTGCCATCCCCAACGCCCTTGTAATGGCACAAGGCATTTTTCTGAGCACCTGTTCCAGGCACCAGAGACACAGCAGTGAGCTCTGCAGGCACTGCCTAGCCTTCCCAGTGTCTGGTTAGTGCTGAACTTGATCTTTGAGATGAGACAGGAGCTGACCTTGCTGTTGCCAGGAGCTAGCCTGGCAGTCACAGCTGTGTCCTGGTGTCCTCCTGCTGCACATAAACAATTTCACAGAATGCCAACAACAGACAAGGCCACTCTGTGACTGCGGCGGAACGAGACAAAACAAGCTCACTTGGTAATCGCGTCTGAACACAGGCAAAACTGGAGTGCGGTCCACACCTCGAGAGCAACTAGACCTCCTCTTTCCTGGGCTAATACAAACAGCAGCTGTTCCTTCCCAATCACAGCTTTAGTCTGGCTTCCTTCCTGCTGACTTCATAAAAGAGATTAAGATGCTAAATAATAGAATCCCCTCTCTCTGTCTCTCTCTCTCTCTGTCTTCCTATTAGCATCTGGGATCTGTCTTCTGGGTCCTGCTTTTTCTAGCAGGCAGGGGGATGAGGCTGAAATGCATGTTTACATCTCAAAGCCCTCGCATGGGCTGGTGGCTGGGGAGCAGGTGATCTGGTCTCACCTCCATGGACTGAACAATAATTTGCTTGAAGTTAGTGAGAAGGAATGGACCCAGTCGGTGATTTGGGATGCCCCAAACTGGGTCACCTTCACCATCCTTATTATTATTATTTTTTTTTAGCAAGGCCGATGACTTCAGAAAACCACCCTTATATCTTTAATTAGTTCATGTTTTTTAGAAAATGCTTTTCTTTTTTTAAAAAAAAGTTTCATTGTGATAGAATATGCGTAACATGAAATTGACCATCGTAACCATTTTTAAGGGCACAGTTCAGTGGCATTAAGCTCATTCACATTGTTGTGCAACCGTCACCACCCTCCATCTCCAGAACCTTCTCATCTTCCTGAACTGAAACTCTGTCTCCATTAAATAACAACTCCCTCTTCCCACCTTTCTTGGGTTTTTGTTTATTTGTTTGTTTGATTTTTGAAGACAGGGTCTTGCGTTGTTGCCCAATCTGGAGTACAGTGGTGTGATCGTAGCTCACTGCAGCCTCAAACTCCTGGCCTCAAGTGATCCTCCTGCCTCAGCCTCCCCAGTAGTGGGGACTACAGGTGCATGTCATGACACCCAGCTGATTTTTCTATTTTTAGTAGAGATGGAGTCTTACTCTTGCTCAGGCTGGTCTCAAACTGCTGAGCTCAAGAAATCCTCCCACCTTGGCCTCCCAGAGTGCTGGGATTGCAGGCATGAGCCACCACGCCCAGCCTTTTTTTTTTTTTTTTTGAGACAGGGTCTTCTTATATCACCCAGACCTCAGTCTTCCAGGTAGCTAGGACTACAGGCATGTGCCACCATACCTGGCTTTTGCCTCCTAATTTTCCTCCCAGCTGCCCCCAGAGGTGCTCAGGGACCATTGTGACAGCATCGTCACAAGGCAAGCTCTTGTTGTCACAATGGGCAGAGCTGGACTGCACTTGCATGCAGCCTTGGAAGGAACATGAATGTCCTCTGGAAGACCAGGGCCAGGTGGGGTCCGAGGGTCCAGCCTGCGGCCAAGTGCATTTCCTAAGACTCACTAGACCCATGCCATCCCTTGAGGTAGGTGCACTGTCCTTGTCCCTGGTATGCAGAGGATGAAAATGAGACTCACGGGAGCTCAATTACTTATTC